TCGGGTTATCGACACGGACACGACCACAGAGAGACTTGGATAGTCAGAAACCGATACGGTGCGCACTACGGACCCAGCGCCGGTCACGGACAGATCTCATGGGCACTGTTACAGGCACGACATTAAACAGGTGTCAGACTCAGTGCGTGCAATGACAATCAAGAGCACGGAATGGATATACATACATTTAGGCCACAGTCACGAACAAGCTCAGACAGACGTATGCCCGGAAACGAGGACAGACATATCTCAAACACGGGCAGGTAACTTGATACCCAGGTATACACAGACAGACGCAAATTAGGTAGCCACCGTTGCCCGGCGAAAATCGATGACGTGTTTCGTAATTGAAGACCGCAGCTTGGCAATACATGCGACATTGATTGGGTCTATCCCGAATGAGACCGCCAGGTCAGCGAACCGAAATAATCTCATCACCTGGCGGGCCGCACAGGTCGCCCTGCCACTAATGGAATCGTAAATTATTTCAGCTCTGGGTGCGCTCTGTGCCCTATAAATAGCACTGGCCGTGTCGCAAGGTAGCACTGTGCCGGGGAGTATTGTGATGAAGTGCGGCCGGGTCCGACTGAAAAACTCCTCGGCAGTCATAATGAGGTTCTCATTAATCGACATATAAATTGATGGCATAGCTATCGCAAAAAATATCCTAGCCTATAAACGATACACAAGATATTAAGGTTTCACAAAAAAATGTAATAGCTTATAGCGGAAATAAGATATAAATATTTCGGCTGCCGTTCAATACCCGATCGGAGGTTTTAGTCGTAAGTCGCGGCCAATGTTCAAGATAAGCACCGATCTGAACTGTACATACTCTCCCCCCCCCCCCCCCCCCCCCCCCCCCCCCCCCCCCACGAACACTCAGCGTAGCACCATGACCACTGCACTACTCGCACCACTCACCCAGAGGTCGTGTTCGGCAAGTCGAAGAGCACCCACGCACCAAAGATTCAAAACGATCTGACTGTCCACCAAGGTCACATCCACGGCCAAGCATCGTTCAATACCGCACCGGCACCACTCACCCAAAGGTCGTGTTCGGCATAGTCGAACAGCAGCCAGACCTTCCTGTCGGGCTGCGACAGAAACACGCGCTGCAGGTTGATGACGTTCGGGTGCTTGAGCTCGCGCAGCAGGGCGATCTCGCGACAGGCGGACATAGAGAGGCCCGTGCCCTCGATCTGCTTCAGCGCGTACTCGCGCACGTCCTTCCTGTGGGGATAGGTGGGAGGAGTGAGCGACACGGAACGCGAGTCACCGCTACCACATCGAGGCATGGGTGAATCAACGCATCAGCTGCTGCTGGACTCAGTGGTTTTATTACGGAGCGAGCGAAGCGAGCGTAGTCTTTCCTTAGATTAACGGAAATTTCTGAGTATGAGCGGCCGGCCGGCCGGCCGTGGTCACGCTTTTGCGACGCTTATATCTCAGCAACCACTTGACCGATTTACACGCGGTAATTTTTGTAGGGTAGCTTCATTCCTTCCACCAAGTATTGGACTATTCCCGATGCATGTGGGTGACCCCTTATGCACGTGCCACGTGCAAAACGAAGAGGTGTCACTTTTGTAATTGTTGCAATATCTCGGTAACTACTTGGCCGATTGCGCTGAAAGTTGGCATGTAGCTAGGCACCCACTAGGCAATGCATATCCATGTGCCAGAGTTGGGGTGCTGCTGCACGTGCGCACGTGCAGGGGTCGATTCCAGATCTCGAGAACGGCTGGACCGATGGCGCTCAAATTTGGTACATGGTTAGGGACCGGTTAGTAGGGTGCAGTGCAAAAGTCAGTTGGGACCCATTTTGCACGTGCGCACGTGCAGGGTGCCGCTTCCAGATCTCGAGAACGGCTGGGCCGATTGTGCTCGAGACGATTGTGCGACGAGACGCCGAACGAGGTTCGCCACGCCAGCACGGTCGTAGCGTTCCGCGCGGGGATGCGGAAATGTCGAGCTAGTCTTACCCAGATAGAATAGATCTCATCCGCCGCTTATTTTAAAATACGCTTGTAGGTAACTTGGATTTTAACAGCATCTCTTAGAAAATGAGTATAAATGGCTTATTCGTAGTATTTTAGTAGGTTTTTAGATCATTAGCCTTAAGGACAGTGCATATATGGAATGACTCTTGTGCTGAAAAGCCGTGTTTTAACGGATGCCATACGAATACATGATGATGATGATGATGATGCTCAAATTTGGCACATCGCTAGAGACCGGTTAGTAGGGTGCCGTGCACAGGTCAGCTGGAGGTACCCCCTCGAAATTTCGCACGTGCAAGGCTCACCCTCTCGCTCGCTCCGTTAGTCGCCCCAAAAGGCGTTATACTGGTGAATACGATAAACCAAGCTGGTAGAACTGTGATCTCAAAACGGGTTCTCTTCAACTGTCAGAAAAAAAAAAACTGAGAATGAACGGCCCGAAACGATAAGGCTGAGTGTTTCCGCGATGCTACAGCTAAACCTCTGGTTGAAAAGCAGTCACCGTGGGCAGTTAGACCCATCCAATCTACCACAAGTGACATACTGAAAAACTACTCACCCATCTCTTCTCTTGGCCTTGTACACATGGCCATAGGTACCACGGCCCACTTTGCAGCCTTCAAATTCAAAGTTATCCTCAACTTTGGCACGTTCAACTTGTGTCTTCTGTTTAAATTCATAATCCATGACTGCCTTGCTGCTATTCACACCTTCACACCTGGAAATTGGATGCATGATACCTCATCATCACCTAGCTGCCAAACGAATGACTAAAACAAACACAATTAAAAAAAACACTATAGGGTATGGGATTGGGAACCTTTCTCCTTCAATTCCACTCCAATGTGTTTGTTATATGACTTTACCTTGAGGGTACCTCACCTCATTTACCATGAATGTATGTATATCAGTAAAATATACACAAGTTTCCAGATCAGCACATATCTAACAGGACAGGATAGGTATAAATTGAGAGATATCTCATATCCACATTTTCATAAAGGTTACTACCATACCAGCCAAGAAAGGGAAGGGAAGTGGGTTTACTGAATCAATAAACTGAGGCTCAAACAGCTTTTCAATGGTGAACTCATTTCCATGCTTTTCCATATCCTGAATTTAAAAAAGAAGCTTGCTCATGTAGAAAATATCATGATTCATTATAATCCATCAAGAGGGACCCAGATTAATCTGACTTAACCCATTCCAGCCTTAATCTTCCAGAGGAAGGTGTTAAGTGTAAGTTAGGTGTAGAGAAAGGTAGGGTTAGGTTTGGGTAGGTTGGGTTTGGAAAGATGTTAGGTTAGATAAGCTGGGTTAGGTCAGATTAGATTCGGTCTGCCATGCATAGGTAAAACCAAGGCTATATAAACGGGTAAAACCATGTATGTCATTGTTTTCTGAATGATAACCTACATGGTTTTACCTTTGCATGGCAGAGGTCACCTCACCTCAATTGATCATAATGCTATTTGTTGCAGTAATGCGCATCATTTATAGATTCAGGACTTGGAAACATAGAAAGGAACATTATTTTTCCTTGAAAAAAAAACAGTTAGGCCTCAGCTCCAGTTTTACCAGGAAGTGAAGTCTGAGGGAGGATGATTGTGGGTTTATCCTGAGGAAGACAGATGAATACCAGCCAAACTTGATTTTGTTCTGTTTTGCAAGCTTAGGCCATTTCAACCAAACAATAAGTTTTCTTTATTTGGATTCAGATTCCAGAAGGATGATTGGCATTAGGGGAGACATTGGTCTGCAGGCAGTCACCCTTGGATGCCACCATAGCCAGCTAGCCCTTTCTTACCCAATGTGTCACCCAGCTAGCCTAACAGTCACCCCTGACCCCACCATATGTCAGCCTGCTGCTGAGAAGCATCTTTATTCCTATGCTGAGGAGCTACTGCCTCATTGAATAAAGGTGACTATCCAGCCTGGGAGCTATTCAGTCACCATTGTTTATGCGCAGCCTGCCAGCTTGCTGGCATTGTTCAGCTTACCATTGGTCATATTAATCCATGTGGTCAGTCTCAGTGTGTTTCACCAATGAAAAGCCAAAAAAGCCAGCACATCTTCCATATATCAATATGGGAAAATTGTCAGCATGCTGATAACAAACTGATGATGACAGCCGTACTGACTTAACCATCGTGACAAAGAGGGGCGAGGGATGAAAAAATGATGAACAGGGCGGCAAAGCCAGCCAGGCCCAGGGCCCTGTTCGGTGGCTGTTTTTATATCAGCTTGCTGTCGATTTTCCCATATAAGGAAGTTATTGCTGGTGCTTCTTGGCCTCTCATTGGTCTAACAAATAGACCACTTAAATTCGACCAATGAGGAGCCAAGAAGCAGCAGCATGCTCTCAGCCTGCTGATAAATAAATGGGGAGCAAACAGAGCTCAGTAGGTACAATACACTATCCCAAATCATATTGATGATTTGGTGTTTTAGGCCGCAACAGCAACGAGGCTATATGGCACCTATCCTAAATCATATTCAACAAACTCCAGTGAAGAGCTCAATTGACTCCAGAGAAGAAGACATTCTATAAATTTATTTCCAAGTGAAGAATGGGTGCTCCCAATATCAATATTGTTCCTCTGTCAATTTGCTGTCCTCATCAATTGCAATAGCACAGCAAATTTCTAGAGCAGTCAAGTCAGCAGATGATATGAGAAACAGTAGCAAACGCAATTCCTCCCTAAAAGCACCCTCAACAAGACCACTGACAAAGCGGCCAAGCGAAAGTCACTTTAATAAAAAAGCACCTTGACTTTCAAAAAACTCTGAAAACAAATGCTGCAAACAAACGAAGTCAAATTGCGTTTGCAAAGTCAGCGACAAGTCAGCGCATACTTCGAAAATTGACTGCATCGCTTTTGTCGCATTAATAAAGTGTTCAAAAGCGGAATTAGCAGCTAAAAAAGGAGCTCATTTTATAAACTTACGAATCACGTTGCAATATTGGATATCTCGAGTGACACCAAGTTGAAGAAAGAACATTTTGTCGCTCCTTACAGACGAAAAACGTAACGTGTCACTTTTCAAGATTTTAGCACGGCATTTTTTGGTGCCGGCCGGTGGTGGTCGATGCATCTGGTAGATAGTCGATGCACTGTTGTTTTATTTATCCGTTTCTGTTCGGGTTACACTTGCGAAGAAAAAAGTCTTAGGATAAATAGGTAGGTACTGCCAATACTGTATGCATATCCCTCTTTGAAAAATAAGATTACCAAGGATAAAAATAAGGTAGGTATGCTTTGTTGAGATCCTAAATGCTGATATTATAGAGACACCCAAGCTGGTTTAGCTTGGTCTTTCATGTTAGAAGTTCAAACAAGCACATCACCTGTTCAACTCACCTGTTGGGTTTCCTTGACTCACCAGTGCATGAGGAGAGGCAGGAAACCGTGTAGGAAAGAGACACGCCAATTCCCCTGGTTACGCTGGGCGCTGAGAGATGGACCGCAGGGGATTGGGGTAGTGCGTCTGCTTGGAGTTGGGGGAGGAAAAATTATAGATGTGATTAGCTGTGCGGTATCAGTTCAGTACCGGCTGTCACGGTACTGTTTGATTCGCTCCTTCGCGGAATCTGGAGCGCGCGGCGATGATCAGTAGAACCTTGCGGGAGAGATCAGACGATGTAGTCGAACAAACGATCACCAAGAACCTTCAGGAGTGATGACTTGAACTCGGCGAGGGAAGTATGGCCAGACATGGCCAGACTGCAGTGCCAACTGCCAAGTATGACAAGTTTCTCAAGATCTTGTCCCATTTCTTGGTGATAACAACTGAATATTTGGTTTGTAATCAAATAATTTATTTAGCTGTGTTACGCATCAGTCTAGTGGGCAATCTTGTATCTGAAAACTACATGATTGTTAGGTATTGCATTTTCACCATTGTATGTCTATTGTCTAATGTCTTTTTTTTTGCAGGGTATCTGGTGACCTGCTGGCACAATAGTATTGTGCTGATTGTTACTTTCAAGGAAGAGTAGAAATGGACAGAAGCGCATTACTATACAAGATTGTCATTGGGCTCATACTACTTACAATCCTCTTTAGCTTCCCTACTCTGGTAAACTCTCATGGACACAGTCATGATGGCCATGGACATGCCCACGATCATGGCCATGGACACGCCCACGATCATGGCCACGGACACGCCCACGATCATGGCCACGGACATGCGCACTACCACGATGAAGCGCCGTCGTTCAAGTACTCTCGCGCGGCCAACGAGGCGTCGCGTCAGCAGCAGGAAGAGGAAGCGCGCCGCGTGCTGGAGGAGTTTGCCGCGCACCAGGCGGCCGGCACGCGCACCAGCGCCGAGACCAGGTCGCTGTGGCTGAACGCCATCGGCTCGACGCTGCTGGTGAGCGCGGCACCCTTCTTCATCCTGTTCCTGATCCCGCTGGATAACACAGACGCCTCGCAACCGCTGCTGAAGGTGCTGCTCAGTTTCGCCGCCGGCGGTCTGCTCGGGGATGCCTTCCTGCACCTGATCCCGCACGCGCTGATGGCCGTATCGGAGAGCGGTGCCGAGACGGCCGGCGGCCACGGCCACGGCCATTCGCACGGCGACCACGGACACTCTCACGGCGCCGGACACGAGCACGACATGAGCGTCGGTCTCTGGGTGCTGGCCGGCATCGTGGCCTTCTTCCTGGTGGAGAAGTTCGTGCGCATTGTCAAGGGCGGTCACGGTCACAGCCACGGGCACAGTCACCAGGCGGTCGCTGAGACGAAGGCGAAGGCCAGCTCAGGGGACAAGGATAGCAAAGAGGACAAGGAAGAGAAGGATGGGGACAAGAGCAAGGACAGTGATGATGCTAAGCGTGAGACCGACAGCAAAAAGGACAAGGCTGGAAAGAATGGCGATAAGGCGAAAGAAAAGTCTGATGCCAAGGACAGTAAGGCGAAGTCTTTTGGCAAAGATAAGGCAGCAGAGAAGAGTAAAAAAGACAGTGCCAAAGAGAAGAAGTCAAGTGATCAAGTTGCCAAAGATTCTGCTCAGTCAGGTAAGCTAAATTTTGTTTAAATATTTCGTAGTTTTTCAAGGCCTGAACGGTGGCATGAACGTTGCCAGGATTTCTCATGTTTTCCATATGATTTCCCCATATCTTTGTTTCTTCAGCTGGTGTAGTCTGTTGTTGCCAATTGGAAGCTACAGCTATGGTGGCTAGAGCCTAGGAGCTTTGTAGCAAAAGTATGACGATAAATTCGTAAGCTGTCTTGCAAAACCGCACTCTCCGTTTTAGAGTGTGGCTGCCTGGTGTGTTCGTGTCACTTAACTTGTAAGTTTTTGTCGGTATTTTAATTTTCATCGAGCGGTATTTCAGCCCCCTGCCTTCTGTTTCAGATATCAAGGTAGCCGGCTACCTAAATCTAGCGGCTGACTTCACCCACAACCTGACTGACGGGCTGGCCATCGGCGCCTCCTACTTGGCGGGCCACTCGATCGGTGAGACCGGCCCAGGCAAATCGGAGGGGGGGGGGGGGCTCCGCCACTGGCTGCCATAGTTGCCACAGCCACCGTTTTACCGTAGCTGTCCTCGCTGTTGGGTGAACGATCCGCTGCGCTGCCATGTCCCACGTGCGCGCCCCACCGAGCCAATGACCTTTCAGTGACGGCTGACATTTCGAAATTGCGGTCGATGTCATATCACAGCTGTCGACATTTGAAACCGCAACCGAACGATCGCACTGAATGTTCCGATACCCCATTCTTACGCGATAAAAATCTATAATGCAAAGCTCCGGACTGTCTTTGTGTGCGGTATACCTTTTGGTCCGTGATCTCTTTGCTATTTATTCGCAGTCGTTTGTGTTTATTTGTCGTTTGTGTTTGTGTTTGTTTATCGCATTGTTTATTTGGTGTATGAATCAGGAGATATTCTTTCATTATCACATGCATTTGAACAGCGATGCCCGCATCCATCTCAAATCTTCGCCCCTCCCAGCTGACACAGCCATCTACCTGCCCCGTTAACACTCGTTACACGTAACTTTGTCGGCACTCGGGAATGCCCACCACGCCGACACAAGCGCTCCGCCCTACTGACTCAGCGTGTAACTTTATCCGCCCTCAGGTATGATCACCACGCTCACCATCATTCTACACGAGGTGCCACACGAGATCGGCGACTTTGCCATCCTGGTGCAGTCTGGCGTGCCGCGGCGGCGGGCCATTTTCCTGCAGCTCACCACGGCCGTGGGAGCGCTCACGGGCACCGTCATCTCGCTACTGGCAGAGGGCGCCGGTAAGTGATGGAATGGGGTCCTTTTGGTACCTTGGGAAGGGGTCTTCTTGCTTGTTGCGGATGGTGCCTTTAAAGGAAATAGTTCACTTTTTAACATGGGTTTTGAACTGGAATAGCAGTTCCGTAGCTTGGGCTGAGACGAGCATAAATCAGGAGCTTTTACAGCCCAACGATCACCCTAGGCAAAGATATTCTATTTCTCGTCCCGAAAAAGGTGTCTTGCGTTGAGGATGTGTGCCTTGCATATATTTCCATCCAGTATGAAAAGAGCATGGGTCCCGAAAATTCTTCAGAAACTAGAGAAATTATCTACGAGAACTCTAGAGAAATTCTCGTACTGATCAATTAGGACATTCAGGGGAACATTATCAGATCGAGCTGATCGCCCAAATGCCGGTGGCTGCGATAATTTCTCTGTTTCTGAAGAATTTTCGGGACCCATGCTCATTTCATACTGGATCGCGTGTGCCTTACAGAAACTGAAAAGTTCTTCCTATATCAAAATATAGAAAAAAATCTTTTGTTATAAAAAGGTTTTATTTTCTTTGCTGATTATTTTGAACATAAAAAATAATAAATCGTTGCAAAAAAAAATAATTTCGTGAAAGTGAACTATTTCCTTTAAGTGGCGAAGACTGGGTGCTATGAAATTTGATTGGTCGTTCCATCGATGTTGGAAGAGGGGTGATTTTTCAACGTATAGTGAACGCCGATAGGTGGCGTTGGAGGTATAGATGAATGGTTCATTTGCCTTCGGAAGAGGAGTCATTTCGCTGCCGGCCCAAGGCGTCGATAGATGGTGGTCGAGAGCATGGGTGGGAAGAGCCATCATGCCAGTGAGGCGCCGCTTGGTGGCGGTAGTGCTGGCCTATCATCTGCGTGGACTCGGCACTTGGACGCGGCCCTTTTAGGCGTCTTTGCCACGTTTTTTTTTTCTCCGTACGCTATTCGATAGCATCGTATTCTATATAAATGAACAATGCGTCAATAAAGAATCCCTTCGCACAGCTACGACGGATGTAAAGGCGTGCCCACAAAATATTTTTCTTTTACTTTGCTGTCTATGATTACTTGCTGTGCTTTAGCCAGTTCTGTCGGCTTCTATTCTTACTGCTTGATAAAGTACAAGCCTGGGAGTGGGACATTAGGGTTGTTAGCGATTTCGTGGTACAACGATTAGTCTGTTCGAGCAATGTCAGATGTCACTCGTCAGCGATTATTCGGATAGCCGTTGGAAATCCAACTTGCGTTTTTTGCTGTCAGTCAGGCAGTAGAGTATAAATTACAAAAGTAATTAAAAAGCAATAGTAATCTAAGCCCTCGCTAGCAATTTTTGTGCACTCCAACCTAGAGAGATTTGACCGTTCTCTTCGCTGTGCCTGTGTTCATGATGGTTGACTGATTGCTAGGGGTTTAGTGACACATCGATACCGCTGACATTATTCGCCCTTTTGTATTTGTTTTATAGAAACAATCGTTAATATTGGTTTAGCGAGATGCATTGAGGTCAAGCTAAGCCATCGAAGCTGGCAGGTAATGCTGCATGTCATTCGATTCGGTAACCTATTCTGAGTAAATGATTACTTCCAATTTGCTCGCTCATTGATATCAATAGTTATGAATAATCGCCGCTGATCCCAAAGGTCGAACGTGACGTCATAAATGTTAACTCATGACGTAAAAGTCTAGTGCGCCAAGTAACAACCATCTTATAGCATGATTGTGGTCTGTGGAATTGTTTCCGCTAAACTATGCCGAACGTTTCCATGCATCGGCGAGTGGCTTCAGATGTCGTGTCAGAGTCGGGCTGTTGCCTTTCATCCGTAGCAAAAGTCAAGACAGAGAAGGAGGTTTTCGCGTTATTGGCAGCCACAAGTTTTCAATTGCTATTGATATTCCCTTGAGTCGCTCTCGAACTGGTCATAGTGCTCCACTAAGTTCGCCAATATCTGATGATAATCAAGAACTGTCTTCTACAACGTGATTGTACCATTGATCGGTGGCATAAGCTACTGAGAATTAATACGGTGACTACTTCAGGTGAGATGTTTTAACTGGAACAGCGTACATGCTAGTGTAATCTATTTATAGAACCCACCTTTCCCCGCATTATTCCTTACATAACAATTGTTGGGCCGATCTCATCGATAACGGTCCTGTATTGACATGTCCTTGGGCATCTGGAGGGTGTCGTTTATTCTTACTGAATGGGCCATCGTTTCCCTCGCTGTCCGCTTATTTTGAATGGGTCATCGTTTCCCGCGCTGTTCGCGTAGTTTGAATGGGTTATCGTTTCCCGCGCCGTTCGCTTATTCTGAATGCCAAATAGACGGTTCACGACCGACGTCGTGGCCAGACCGAGCGCGTTTCTTTCATAGTAGACTCTGTTGCGTCGGAGCTTTCCATTCAGCTAAAGCCAGCGTGTCTCGCTGTCGTTTATCGCACACAGACACGCATGGATAGCGTGGCATCATGTGATGGTGCCCCGCGCGAGATCCCACGCGCCCTTCCTTGTCGGTTGTCTGTGCGGCTGTGTGGGTGTCTGTATGTTTGGCTGTGTGTGTCTGTCTGCGTGGCTGCATGTGCGACTGTATGTGTGTTTGTCCGTTGTTTGTGAGGTGTTTGTGTACGATGACGCCGCCTGTTCCGCTCGCTCGGTGGACGTACCGCTGTGGATAAACACTTGTGGAGTGTTTGTGTAGTCGGCCGGAGGCACGCAGCCGGCCCGGTAATTGGTGTTTATCGGCGACAGAAGCGGCGCGGCCGGCGGTGGTGGTGGGCTTGGGAACATCGACAGACGCCGGTACCGGTGCTCGGCTCGGTACGGCACCACTGACGCTGCGGCCCCTCCTCCAGTGCCGTTTGCGTTTCACCTTGTGTTTCGAAATATGTTACAGTCATGCAGAACAACATTTGTTGGATGTTCACCTACTTATACCCGCAGACGGTGGTTTACTCGTCTGGCTGATAGCAGGAGAGCACGCAAGGAAGCATCGATCTCTCCCTTAGCCTGTTGCGTATGTGATATATGATTCCTACGACATCTGCCCTTCGCTGGCGTTGTTATTACTTTTGTGGCGCAGAGTCTAATCAGGTAATGGGTTGACTGACGTGCAGCACTAAGCCGCGATGGAGGTCGTTGTGCCGTGCCTCACCACTTCTCTCTCGCCTGTGTCTCCACAGACTCTGCGGCCACATCACGAATTCTACCGTTCACCGCCGGCGGCTTTATCTACATCGCCACCGTCTCGGTAATTCCCGAACTGCTCGAGAAAACCTCCGTGTGGCAGACGGTCAAAGAGCTAATCGCTCTGTTGGTCGGCATTTACATGATGGTGCTTATCGCCGAGTACGAGTGAGCTGACCGGCTCGCCGCAGCTGTGACCGCTACGGTGGGTGTTTGGGGGACGGAGGCGGGTGGTCGGCGGTGGGACGGAGCTTCTGAAGGGACGGTGCGTGGGACGGTAACCCCGGCGCGCGCCCGCCGCCACCGGTCGATCGCTCCAGTGTCGTGTTTGTGCTGCGTGTGTGGGCGCCGTCGGAGTGCCCCGGTCTCGGTCGGAGTTGTGCATTTCCCTCACAGTCCGCTCGCCGCCCCATACCTCCAGGGTATGCGGAATGCTGTGGTCAAGGAGAGGGGTGTGAAGAGGCGATGGTTGAAGGGGACTATGGTTATCGTGTGGGCTGGGCAGATGCTGGGATTGCCCCGCGCCTCAAAAATCATCTTTCTGAGACATCTGTCATTGCTCTTTAACTGAGACAGCTCCTAGACGCCCGTCTGGGTCGATCGATGTCTGACCTTACTGGACGAGGCTCTCCTGTTGCTAGCTCTCAGATACGGTATGCTGGGTCTGATGGCTACCGTTATTTACGACACTCAGACAGTCCTTCGGGCTATGGTTGGCGCCGGGCTGGCCTGGTGTACCTTTTGGTGTACTAGGCTGGTCTTGTGGCTTGGTGTACCTTTTGGTGTACTAGGCTGGTCTTGTGTTCACTCGGGGTACCGGGCCGGCCTGGTGTACCGTTTGGTGTACCGGGCTGGTCTGGTGTACCCTCTGGTGCACCCTCTAGGGTACCGGCCTGGTCCGGTGTACCCCATCAGAGCATCGCAGTGACTCTCCTGTACCTACGACTAGACTGGTTGAACTCCCGAATTAATAGTCTCGAGAAGACAACGTTTCCCAGCCCCGTCATGTGATACCGCGCACGCACTTGTACTTCCTGACATCTCTGTACGATGCAAATGCTATTTTTGTATAGGTATATGAGTGATCGTTAATAGAAATTTGAAGCATTTTCTTTACCTGCGATCGATAACTGTTGTCCAGTGTAGCGTCAAAGGGTAGTGCAGAGAAAGTTCCGTTTGTAATGTCCTGCTTTGTGTGGTGAAGGTAAGTTGTTGGTCAGATCATAATCTCATACCAGTGTGTATCGCCATTTTACTTACATGTGATGGAGGAGCCACTTTCATGAGGAGAATATACAAATATCAATCATTGTCTGTTTAAGTGCCTCGTGCGCCGACCTTTGAATATTTTCTTTAAACGTATTTGGTGTCGTAAACAAATATTTTGTGCATCAATTTATTGTAGTATTCCTGCATGCCATAGGTACACAAAATGGAGCAGAGGTGGCGGAAACTTGCTCTTGAACGAAGCCAGGCACGTGTACGAAGGTACAAATCCACGAACCTGAGCACACTGACACCGACGGCTAGCAGCTAGGTCGCGGCGGCTCGGTCCCTTTGCCGCGCCGACAGTGGCCCGCGTCAGCGGACAGATCTGCGCACACACGAGCGCGCGCGCTGCACAGAGAACAGACCCGTGGGCGGCGGCGCGGCGCACCGCTCCTGATTGCCGGTCAGCCGGCGCGGACCGGCTCAGACCGCGACACACATGTGCGCATGCAAGGGCCGCCTCCGCCGCGCGGCACAGAGAGGATGGCGACAGACAATGATAGTATGATGGCGCGGGAGATGGTCGCGCCGATAGGAGCGCGACGCGCGCACAGCTCCAAAACAACGAGATAATATCGTAAAGTGATGAGCAGGTCGGCTGCGGCTACGACCGCCGCCTCCCAACACACGGCGATAGCACGAGCGGCCGGCAGGACCGCGCGCCGACGCAGCCGCGTTCGGACTCTGATCCGACCTCGTGCACAACACTGGCGCCCCCGTGCTACACCAAACTCAGGGCCGAAGCTGAATTCACACAAAGCCGCGATGAGTGTGACTGCTCCCTGTGACATCGCTCGAAAATGGAACTAACCGGTTACAAGCTTGCATAAATCGCAGAAAAATAAAACATAAAAAGTGAACACAATAACAGATAAATGCGTGCTGTAATAGAAGACGAGGAATCTAAAATGATTAGTGGTTCAAATAAGAAGGACTTTTTTGTACCCCACTGTGTTAGTTCACAAATGCCTTTAACAAATGCGATTGGGACCGATGCTTTAATAGCGGCACATTTCGGATTTGGGGCGTCACGTGGAAACTGGTAAATCAGTGGCACGTTGCTTATGGACTGGCTACTTAGAATGTACACTTGCAGCATTCATGCTAGGAACAAAGGCAACTTAAGTTTGGAGGTAGATGCTCTAACATAACCCAGTCGATAAAAGATCTGCGGCCGGGATCCTGTGTTGTGCGCACAACACACTGTGTTATCCTCCGACGCCGGAGGCAGCTTGTGAACGAATCCAGTGACCCCTGTGTGCTATTCGAGTGACCTGGTGTGTCCCACCCGGTGTGTGAGGGGGAGACGGTCCTCTGTTCTCCCATCGCTGTTATACTTTTACTGGACCCACGACCCAAGCACCATAGAAGCACAGCGACAATTAAGCGGGCCTCAAATGGGCATGTGAAAATAAGATGCGATGTCTCTTTTGCCCGCGGGACATGAATGTGATTCGTGATACATGTATATGAAGGTGCTCATTTTCATTTAAATCAAAGAAACCGTTTGTTTCGACGTGTGTGTATGTAGGTAACCCGTCTTATCCGTACAGAAATCGCGCGCGAAGCTGGTGAGATATTCGCCAATTGACATCCATTTCATAATCTTTCCGGCTGAAAAGAAGGTGTCTTTTCCGTCCTCTTCAAAGGATTAACATTTTGCTCAAATACACAACGGTCTTAGCGTTCGTCTAACCCTACAACACACTTATCTAAAACAAGCGCGATGTCGAAAATAAAATCATGATCATAGCAACAAGCGGGACAGCTGTGTGCACGGTTGGCCGCCGTGCTCCAAGTTCACCTCATACGCTGCACGTGTGTCCATGCGGTGGGTGCGGCGACCGCACCGCTGTGGTTCGCCGGTCCCGGCTCCTCTCTGAGGCGTGCTGAGGTGTGTGGGCTGCCCCGGCCCGCAGCTGGCGGCTGCTGTCAGTCAGAGCTCAGCTCAGCTCGGCTCGGCTGGCCGTCGCCGCTCCTCCATCGGTTCTTCCCCCTCCGTCCGTCGGCTACTTGTCCAAGAAGTGGCTTAGTACGTCGATGGGCAGCGGGAAAATGATGGTCGAGTTCTTCTCAGCCGAGATGGTGCTGAGTGTTTGTAGGTAGCGCAGCTGGAAACACACGGGAACGAGGGGAGTCAGTCGTGTGCAGCTGGGAACTCACGGGAGTCAGTCGTGCCCAACTGGAAACACACGTGGAGTGCCAGAAGTCAGTCGCGCGCAGATGGGAACACACGGGAGGGAGGGAGGTAGGAGTCAGTCGCGTGCGCAGCTGGGAACATGGGAGGGAGGGGTTACGAAAGAGTCAGCCGCGCGCGCGCAACTGCCGCCGCACGCCGCCGTACCGGCGCAATCAATAGCCGACGCGGTGGTAGTACAGACACTCGGCAGGCGTCCACTGAAATTTGTGCCGCGCTGCTAAGGCGCCCGATCAGCACTCGTCGCCCTCAGACAATGGATTTCCTCTCGCTGTAACCTGTGACTGCTGCTCTGACCTGCCGAGCCCAGGCGGGGTCACGGACCAAGGGTAGGCGATCGGGCACGTAGCACCGGGCGGAGATGGGTTGTCCGAGGCTCGTGCTCGTTTTAAACTGCTGACGCAGACTCCATGTCGCCATTCGAGCTGACGCTAGCTGGTGTGGTAGGTCCGAGGCTGAACGTGCTGATACCTTAGTTATAACCGTAACCTGGACCATGCTGCCTGGGGAACGGCGCTGAATATTGCAGTCATTTCGACGCATCGAATTGTATAGCTCGATACTCTGTGGATGCCGCTCTGCTAGAGCCTCCCAGCCTCCGATTCACAGTGGGCCAGGCGCTTCAAAAAAGCGGAATTAAATCAATGAGCACAGCTGCGGTGCCAAAAATGATTCGTTACAGGGTAAAATATCATGCTAAAGCCGAATCCGATATCCATTTTCAAATTTGATTGGTTACGCTAGGTCACTGACCTATGACGTCATTATTTAATTTCTGCGCTGCACATATGCCTGGGACAGGCGGGCACTATGCCGCATTGGCCGCGCGTTTGCAGTCTTTTCGTGGTTTCAAGCGTTCAAACATGTGATATGATATTGGTCCCATGCATTAGGGTGGGTGTAAAGGTCACCTGAAGGTCAGGTCAGGTCATTGACCTTCGATGACCTCGGTTCACTTTTTCGAGTTTTACATGTTTCTGGGCTAGTTTTTGGAGCTGAATTCGAATTTAGGAACCATTTGAACATTAACGAAGTAGTTTTGGTGCCTTCGTAACATGTTACGAAGCTGTCAGAGGCAGGTTGACACCTACTACGAATACCCGGCAGGACTCATACTGGTTGACCTGACCTGAGCTGACCCGACCTGGCCTAAATGCATGAAGACATCATCTGTGAACAAAACTAACATGATATTCGTGATCAGCATCCCGAAAACCCCTTAGCAGCCACACTATACGACGTTCTAACAGGTCCCGACTTTCGGCCATTGACCTGACCTCAGAGGTCACCATTTGACCTATGACCTTATAACCGGGTACCGTTGGCTTCGTCTCGTGACGACCTACACGATGGTTTTTTTTCCGCGAGTCTCTAGCTCAATTAGGGGCCAAACGCGAGGAGGGTCGCGTCCCCCTGTGCCGTCGAGGGATGCAAAACGGCCTATGCCGGCGAGGGTTAAACCCTTATTTGTCCATTTCGCGCAAAAATGCGCAAAATATTTGCATTGGGCAGCAAGCTATACACCTTGAGGAAAGTCAGGCAGCAAATATCTTCGTGTTGTTCAGTGACGTTTTCTTTATATCCTTATATAAATTCATTGCGTCGTTGCACTACCACGGTTCCGAACAGGCACTGTAAACCCCGCCGCTACTAGTAAGCATGAAATAGTTCCCGGGAACTTGAGTACGAGAAACATGCGCAGAAATACCGGCTGTTTTTTAAAGCTATTTTGTACGGAATAACTTTAATGATTTTACGCTGAGAGCTTTTGAATCGGGGGAACGGAATATGGTACACAGCAGTCATTTCCATCTCCAGTCGGTAAGTCCTACTTTGCGACGTTATAGCATTATCTGCCTTGACATTGGGGAAAGGAAACTTGCTTATTCGGAAACTTTGGACATTTTTACAATACTCTATCCCATAATTACAGGAATTTCACCGAAGTTGATTTTCGACTTAATTCCGCTTTTTTGATGCGCCTGGCCCACTGTGCGATTCCGCGGCGGCCATGCTGTGCCGCAGCACACGGGAGCGCTGCGGCACAGTATATCTCACAGGCAGACTACGCCGGCTAGCGCCGTGCGCCGGCTGTGAGCTGACGGAAGTGTGTGAATAAATTGACGTCATAGATAGCTCGATGTCATGAACTGAGAGGAACCCGAAATTTTCAGATTAGGTGGCCGATGTATGAGTGCGGATCTATGCCAAAATTTAGTCCTATTGGCTCACACGTTCACGAGAAATTTGCGAGAACAAAACCTTATGGATGATTGCATCCCTTTGTAGGTAGACAGCGGAGAGGCGCAGTAGTACGTAGGTTTATTATTTTTTAATGGTTTAGAAAATTTGAAATAAATAGCCATTTGATAAACATTGTAAATTTTATTTTTATCCATCAACCGATAGCTCTGATGCTTGGTTTCACTTCCTTTTGACGCGACCGCTTTCTTTCCACGAGGATGCACGTCTAAAAAAAAAAACTTTTTTCAGTAAAACAACATAAATATCCCTATGTTGCGACACTACATAGAGGGCGCTGCTCGTGGAATTCGCTCGTTACATCGTCGACGCAGTATCCTTAGCGTGCTACATTCTTGGAAGAAAATGACACATCCTGGCCATGACATACACAATGACATGATCGCTGGCTCAATTTCCGCCAAGGCCGATCGATAAACAGTTTAGGGCGGCGATCGTCGGCATCGTTATGCCTCGACGGGCCGCTCATTAGCCGGAACTTGACGACTGCTGGGGACGTGCAGCGTCGGTATGTCGGTCAGCCGTGCCCGCCGCTCGTAAATGTGTCCGGGCACGTCGATGTAAGTACCCAGGACTGCTCGCAGCGTCTAGCAATGTCCCGCTGGTTGTTGATCATACACAGACGCCGCGCGGCCGGCGGCGCTGGCTGGCAGTGCGAGTTTTGACCGCGCGCCGGGCTGGCTGCCGGCCAGGCGCGGTCGCCCGGTCGATAGAGAGTACGAGCGGCGTGTGCGAGGCCGACGGCGTATACTCGACGACGAACAAAGACGGCTGGCCGCCGGTGGCCAGTGTTTACCGACTGCATGGCGGCGGCCGATCGCGGGCTCGGATCGCAGGTCGATCCCGTTCAACCTGAGTTGGAAGGAAGCGCGCTGCTGCACGGAGAGCGCCGAGTCCAAACCGTTAGACGGCGGCACGTCGCATGACCATCGTAGCCGTGACGGCTGACGCTCTGCCACCGAAGGCATTCATTACTGATGCATGCCAGCAGATGAAGATTTCAGCATGTTCGGCCTGCGCTATACATTGCGCAGCGCCGAGAGATTTATTTGACTGTGAGAGTTCGTTAGAGAACAGCTGAAAGCTCATTAGGATTGCAGCATTGATGAATGGGCTGGATCTATGCTAATAGATTTGTGGTTTGCCTTTCTAATTTGAAGTAGGTTTGAACTAACTTGTAATTATTTTTTAACATTTTAACCTGTTCACTAATCAACTTTCACAGTGGCGCATTTGACACTGCGATTGACTTACAAAGACGCACCGCCCGCTACCTTAGCACCAAATGACATCCTTTCGGGATAATCGTCCTTTTTCAGATAAGAACAGCTTATTAGAAGCTACTCGCCTGAAATGGGTGATATCTGAACCTTACTTTGCAAACAGAAGACCGCGTTACATCACTGAATGTCAATACTCCGTCATGGCTTAACGCCAGAGGCTATGTTTGGACTCTCTAAGTTTGATGTGGCGACCGCCCGCGAGCAGTGATTAGTCTGGGCTCGATCTGTGATATGTAACTCCTGGTGCGAAGCCGGCACGTTCGCCCAGAGGCCGTACATCCCAGTATAAATGCCCTGATCCATGGAACAGTCGCTGCTGACGTCTCATTCGGTAGCGCTTCGGGCCTTTATGATGGAGCATGACAGATGATCATTTCGTCCCCGAAAAGATTCATTTCATTTCTATCTTCCAGATCATGACACTTTTAGATCGTATAAGTTGAATCTGAACTGACAGAAGCAATTATGTAAAATATTTGTGCGGAGGGGATAAATAAAGCGGGGAAGGGACTAAATTAACTTTCCTCAAGTGCTCAGATATGTACTGTGCAATTACACCGCTAACGGTGTTAATATTTTTCTGTGTGTAGTGTCCCATTCTCCCTGTATCCCTCGTGTAACACGGGCGGGGCCGCAGGTGTGTCATATGCAGTATTCATGCATCCAATCTCTGTCTCTCGGGCGGGTCCAAAATGACGGATAGGCTGCTCAGATATAGAGTCTCTGGGCCTCAGCTGCACTGTCTGAGTGTCAGCTGCAATCGCTGGGTCGCCTGAAAGGCATTGTTATACTGGGTTTTATCTGTGCAGTGCACTGGGACTCTAGTTTTGTTTCCAGAGCGTCTTGCCTGCAGGGACCTGACAGTTTTCACTTTTCAAGCTATAATCACCAAGATCTTTGCTCTGCTTCTGACCGGTAAGGTTCAGGGTCTCTAAGGATGATCATCAACTGCGCGCGCATCCACGGCTGTGGTTGTCATCTTCCGCGCTCTAGGACTTTGGGTTTCAGTTGCAGTGTTCTGGGTCTCACCTGTAGGGCGCTGGGGCTCTCGTTCATCACGTCGGCCGCCTGTTTGAGGGCGCGCGAGGCCTTGTGCTCGCCCTCGGCGGCGATCACTTTGGCGCGCGCCTCGCGGGCCGCCTCGGCCTCGGCGGCCATGGCGCGCTGCAGCTGCAGCGGCAGACGCACGTCCTTGATCTCGACGCGCTCCACCTTGACGCCCCACGGGTCGGTGGCCTCGTCTAGGCTGGACTGCATCTGCTGGGCGATCGTCTCTCGCTCGGCCAGCAGGTCGGCCAGCGACTTGGTGCCCAGCACGTTACGCAGTGTGGTGGCGGCCAGCAGCCGGGTGGAGCGGCTGTCGGCGGTCAGAGCAGAGGTCAGACGGGGTCAGACGGGGTCAGACCGCACCGGCCGCCCGGTGATCAGAACAGATCGACAGCCGATCGGGTGGGCGCCGCGCCGTCCGACCAGAGAGCGATGGTGGTCGGAGGTATCGATACGATTAGCCGATAGCGCGCTGCCGATACAGCCCAATACCCGCTGATGGGTCATTAATCTTTAGTGCGGCACTGCGCCCGTACACGGCCAGCAAATGATTGCTGCCGTCTATCAGTATGACGGTGTTCAATATTGCAGGAATTGTACCGATTCAACAAACAGGCACATATTGAATTAAATCGTTTTGTACGTTATAATTGAAGCAGTAATTTAGTTACAGCGTTACCCACAGCGAAACTTCTGATGAACTTTATCGCTCAGTGCAGAAATAAAGTCAAACTATCGTTAATAGTTCACATAGTCGACAGACGACACGATGAAATACATTGAAAAGATATTAATAACGAACAAGTAATTATAACTACGGACACAAAGCATGCTCTGATAGCCATCCAAGGCCGGTCCGACTGGGTAAATCTCATCAGGCCAGTGGTGAAGCCAATAGCAGAAGCCGTCTGATGCACTGGCAGCGGCAGACGTGGGGTCTCAGTAATCAGAGGGCCGTCATAGACGGGCCGCTCTGATCTCTGATCTCTGATCAATGCCAATTAGTGGCCGGACGTCTGGCGTCAGTGCGCGACGCCGCACAGTGACACCAGGCAGCGGGCCGAGGGATGGGAGCTCTCTCTACGGTACGGCGAGCGCCGGCCTCTAGTTACCTGCAGTTGACAATATTTGTCACGGCGATCGTCGGATTGCTGACCCGGTAAAATATTACCGCGTCCACTGCTACCGTTACCGAGTCCTTGCTCAGGATCTAGAGGCAGACACGGACAGAGTCATGCAGAGTCTCTCATGCTGCCGAGTAACAGCGGGGGGGGGGGGGGGGCACTAGACGGAGCGGCCCGGCGGCCGCCCGGCCGGCCAGCGGTGTTAGTTGGCTTAGTCACACTGGGAACACGGCGCAGGACATGCTGGCAGTAACGCGGCGGTGCCTGCGGCGGCGACCGTCCCGGGAGCTCAACGCTGGACCAGCCACTGTGCAGGTCGCCACAGAACAGACGTGACCCTTGAGGCCACTAGAATGAGCGCTGAATTCATGAAGCATGTGACTGAAAGCTGTTACATTAAATTTTGACGTAATAAATTTTACATGAATATGTAGAAAAAGACGTCATACGTTTCGCTTTGCTTTGGTGTGGCTTTCCAAATGCAAGTGTCACACGGTTATGTAAATATTATTATGACTAGACATTTTATTTTATGGGATAGCATGAAAAAAAATTGCGCAACATAGGACAGCACGGTTTCAATTAAAGTAAGAGAACAGCTTAATGGTCATTCGTTGGCGTCTCACAACATATGTAACTGCTTTTCCATTGAAAACGTCCCTTGAAACGCGTCGTCTTCTCGTCCTTTGAAGTAACGGCTCAGAGACGATAATGACCCCCGAGTGATATCATTAAGTGTCCTTATGATGTTTTCAATGGGAAGCGCCCACTCCTCCCAAAAGGCTGAACAGGAAGTCTCGTCTGGTGATAAAACACGACATTGTAGGTCGACTGGGTCCCGAGAGGTAGCGGGAGGGAGTACTTGTACGCGTCGCTGACATCTCTATAAAGGTCGTCCGTTTCTGGGTACTACCCAGTCGTCAGACAACACAGGCCGATGTCGACGCGAGGTGGTGGGATGGAAGGAGTAGTGACGGTTTGGGAATGATGACTGCCCTACGGACAGTCATCATACTGGCCGGCGATGGGAGCAGAGTCAAAAACACACTTTGGGCCGTCGAGGAAAGTACAGGAAGTGTAGTTAGCTCGATCCCAGCCGACAAAACCCACGAGTTCCTTGCCGACGAAGCTCCACTGGATCCCGGATGATCCACGGACTGAGAACTTCGGATCCCTACCGACACAGGGTTCGATCCCCTCTGAATCCCGACCGGCCAGCCGCTGACTGATACTGAATTTCAGTCATTTACGGACGGAAGGCCGCACCGCTCCAATATCCGATCCGGAACTGGAGTCGGCCCTCCGGTGGGCACTTGGGCAGCTGGCCACGAGTGATGACCCGACGGTCACGCTGCGGTCGGACTACCGCCGACAGATCCGACAAAAACGGTCGGCGGTCCGAGCACTGCCCTCGATGGCAGATGGCTGGTGTCGTGCGGAGCGGCGTCCTCCGGCCGAGAAAATCGAACCCGGGCGGGACTGCGGCCTGTGACCTTTCCACGTCGGCGCCGCCCGGCCGCCCGGCCTCCTGCCCATCCCGTCGGCCGGCGCCGGCTGGAGGTGGTAGCTCCGCGCCTCGGCCGGTGGGAGCGGCGGTAAAGGACGTGAAATACGACCCAGTGTCCGGCGACGGACGGGTTCGGTGACGTCGTCTCTGGTGACTGAGAAGTGAGCACCGACAGGATGGCTGACGCCATGAGCATCGCCAAGTGCCCGTGCAGAAGCACGGGGACACAATCTGGCGGCGGCTCGCCGCTTCCCCGAATAAGGTGGCGACATACGCCACCCTCTGGGGAGATTGGTGATGACGCATGCCTCTACCGGGAGCCAGATAGCGGCACACGCCACTCTGCAGAGCGAGGTAGAGGCGCCAGGGACCTCGGAGCGGAATGAGGGCCGGGAAAGGATCGCAAACATTACCGAGAATACGACCCCTGCTGGAGGAAAACGGGGCGGTTTTTCATTTCAAACGGCACCCAACGGCCATAACCGTAATGTGTGCTGTATTGGGTGGCGTCGTATTGCATACGTAACCCATTTGGAATGTTGACCGAACCTTGCGTGTGGGATATACCGCTTGATAAGCGAATGTGCCGTATATCCTTTCGCTAGAGACGATGGCTAGCACGACAACTAACAGCACATAAAGATGCTCTGAAAATGCATGAGACTTGATCGATTGATGATGTTTTGAAATCACCTGAATTAGGTAATCTATGTCGCCTCAAAATTATAACACAGATCTTAAAAACGATATCAAAGGTTCGGTAAAATTTATTCGATACAAGGCCTTCTTTGGAATTCGGACTAAAAGTATATTGATGACTGATGTATTACATCATGTTTAGTTTAGTTTCTCTCCGCAAGGACATGAAGAATATGAAGGGCACTCCGCAAGGACAAGCTTAAAACAGGAGCATTCCATGTGTGCGACGACGATCTTAGACCAAAGACAGAGGTGTCTGTAGACCGCTGACAACTAGGGAAGGGAAGAAAACACTACAACTGCTTGTGGTAGTAGTAAGAAACTCCGAGAAGTTAGAGGCCGCTGGGATCGTTAAATAGATGACAGCAGCCGTCAAACATTGGACGGCGCTCGGCGGTGACCTGCCGGACACATACGCCACAGCAGACCACACAGCCGCACAGCCGCTGACCTGATCTCCTCTATCTCTGTCTCAGCTTTCACCGGATCCTCCACGCGGTAATACACTACAGCGTCCACCGAAACCGTCACTAGGTCCATCGATAGAATCTGAAAGGCAGCCGCTCGGCGTCATGGAAAAATCGCGTCAAAAGTACTTTCCAACACGGTAAGGTAAGGCAGCAGGTCCGTCATAGTCCCTCCGTCACAGTCAGACAGGGCAGCAGGTACCGCCTGACACAGTCTTATCCATCATGGTTAGATCAGGTCCGTCACAGTCCTCCATAGCCTACACGGTCAAAGTAGGTAACAGATATCGTTGGCAGAGTTACTCCCGACACGATAAGATGGAAAACAAAGCAGGTAGGTAACGCATCTATCGTTTTCCTTGCTCAGCCAAATAGGCAGGTGCTTTATTGAATAGCCATGTTCAGACTTAAAGACAAAATTGTAATCCTTTGTGATGATCGGATCTTGGTAGGAGTGTGTCACCTGTCTTTTATCAGAATGAGATTTTCATTTGTTTATGCTAAGGCCGACTGCTGTGGCTGGACAATGAACATTTAATGATTAATAATTATTCATTAGTGAATAAAAATCGCATTTCTGTATTAAGACGAGATTAGCGGAGACCGATAGCCATTAATGAGCGCTGTCTGCGCTGGCCGGTTAGGTATGTGTTATCGGCGGGCAGCGGTGGTTGCTGAGCAGCAGGTTCCTGCGCCGTCCGCAGCCCAGTCAGTAGGAGGCCGGCCGGCCGGGCCCGTCTCAGCTACCGAGGGTATACCGTAGGCAGGCGCCGGGCCGGGCCGGGCGGGCGGGCGTAGCCACGCTAAGAAGCCGGGCACGAGTCAGGCACACACACACACTCGCACAGGCACGCACACACTCCGGGCCAGCACCTGTAGTCCTCGATGTTATTCTCGGCCATCACCGGGTCGCTGACCTTGTAATACACTACAGCGTCAACGCTGACCGTCACAGAGTCGCGCGTCAGCACCTGAAAGTGGAGGGCTGGCCAGCGTGAGACTGCGAACGTTAGAGGTCGTGTAGTAAGGATTATAATGGCGATGGCTAGAGTCAACGATCACGTTGGAGAATTTCCGATCTCGTGCTTGGGTCGAGGCTGTCCTGCCTTCAAGCCGGTAAAGGGCAGACAAATACAGATATAACCAGATCGGAAACTTTCCAAAGAACGTAAGAACAGATATAAACACCAAACGATATCGTCGCAAATGGCAGCACTGTATCTCACGCGTTTACAATGGTATCTTCTTGTTTGTACTTAATGGTATCTTCTAGACATATTTCTGACTCGAGTAGTCCCCTTAGAGGGTTTCTTTTACTTCAACGGAGACATTCTCCTAACGTATCTTGCCGGCTAGAAATCCCGAACACCTGCTACATCGCACAGCAACAGTTCAACCCAGTAGCAATGTAGCACCCGCTCAATTGTCATCATCTGATCATTTGTGAATTGGACCAGCCTGCGTCGAAGTGCAATATAGAGCCCATCATAGACCATGAGGGTCTGGGCTGCAATCTTCGTCGATCGTAAGGGACGGCATGGCGCCTGGCAGGTCTACTTCTCTAGGAAAACGCAATGCTTAAATTATCCGTCTTACAAGTTGGGTACAGTCTGGCGTCTGCGACTTGGGCCAGAACTCGAACCACTTTCCACCGTGCCTGGGTGCATTAAGAAAGCTTCTGTCGACTTTAATTGCAATATTATCCAAATTCGGTGAATGATAACCATCGTAATTACAAGTGACAAGCTACTGAACAATTCAACTTTATCTCAAAACTCACTATACGCCATTCGCAAGCCAGATAAGCTGCATGTGACGTAGACGGCCGAATACGAGCACTGGCTTTTACGTTCCAGCCTATTCTTGATTCTTATCTACCGAACCATGGGTCCCGAGCTCCCAGGCCGTCTGCGTTGGTGATATGCGGCGAGAGTGTACGTACATAGACTGTGCGGCAGGCCGGCCGCGGAGGGGTGACAGCCCAGCAGTCTGACAGTCGGCACCGATATAAAACAGCCGGCTGGATTATGGGCACAGCACAGGTCCAGCCGTACACAGCGTATCCAGCCATTCCGGAATGGCACAGCAGCTAGGAAGGAATGGCATGGCCAGCCGAACCGGAATGGCTCACTGCGGATCAGTCCGGAACAACCCTGCGTCCAGCCTGGAATGACAAAGCCAGCCGACTCGGAATAGCACAGCAGCCAGCCTGGAATGGCACGGCAGGTCAGCCTGGAATGGCACATCTAGCCAGCATAGGATGGCACGGCAGGTCAGCCTGGATTGGAATGGCTCTGCTGCCAATCAGGACTGGCACTGAGGCCATCCCGGAATGGCACGGCAAATCTACGTGGAATGACACTGCAGCCATCCCGGAATTACAGAACAGACCCATCCGGAATGGCACGGCCAGCCAGCCCGGAATGGCGCTGCGGCCGGGCCGAGCACGGCTCCCCGGGGGCGGGAGCCGGCCGGCCAGCGCAGGCGTCTGACGGATGGCAGTCTGCTGCCGTATCGTCGGGAGGAGCACCGCGCCGGGTCAGCCCGCCGACCTGAACGGCCCGGCCGCGCCGCCGCCGGCCAAATATTGATGGTAACTGTCCGAGATACCTGCCCGCATGCAGCCAGTCTGATTCCGGGCTGGAGCGGACCGGTTTAGGCCGGGCCGGCCGGTTCGTTCTGGGTTCGAAATAAAAAACTGTCATTTCGTTGCATCTCATGTCAGCTAACCTCTTATTTGCCCCATAAGTTCTACTCTATACCAGGGCACTTAAGAGTCTATGTATATAATATAGGAAACAATGCGGCTTGTAGACCAAATCCAAAGTTGGCTAAGCATCACAAATAAATCGTCTTACCAGTTATCAGTAATATAACGACTTCAAGGCACTACAATTTTAGCCTCAAATGTTTCAGAAAGGGAATCTTGCATAACAATGCATATGCGGAGGGTTATTCGCATATCGCGACGGATAGTTCTCGCATCTAACTTTCAGCCCCCAACAGAGCTGTGGCGTTGGTTTACGGTTCATCTGACGTCTGTCATTTGATACGAATGAGCCCATCAGCGCAGGACAAGTTAGGATGGCCGTCATCTGTAACTAACGCCGGGGCTCTGCGGGCTGAGGGAGGGGTCGCTATCAGACCACCGCGTGGCGCTGACTGAGGCGTGGTCGTTTGTCCCCGGAATTCAGCTATTGGTAACCGCCACTGGCTGCCCAACTGGAGGTGGCTGGAATGGAGGGTCAGCGGCGGATTAGGTCATATGGTCAGTCAGTGGGTACTGAACTGGGACGGTCAGTGACTGCTGGACACTAGACAGCCAGCCTGCAGTGGCGGCTGAACCATGGGTGGTCAGTGGCGAGCAGAGTGGTTGGTCACTGGTCACTTAGTGCAGGGCTCCAATGGCCATTAGCTGGCTCGCCAAAGCGCGGTCGGTGGGGATTAAAGTGGGTAATGGGTATAGGTAGTGGCGGCTGGCTGTGCAGTGTGCGGCCAGTGGCGGTTTTACTGGGTAGTGGGTACGGGTCATGACCAGTGGCAGTTTGGTGAACTGGCCACACTGATCAGCCACAGAAGCGGCGGAACACCTTCGATTAAGGGGGGGGGGGGGCACTGCCGACTTTTGGTCCCATTCTTTCCATACAACGCCCATAGGGCTAATGTTACAATGCCAAAATCAAAGGGGGCACGGTGCCCCGGTGCCCTCCCCGTTCCGCCGCCTATGGATCAGCCAGGCGGCCATAGACTGTTTCGCCAGTGGGGACTGAACCCGGTAGCAAGTGGTGACTAAATTAGACCACCAGCTGCCCTCTACTACATCTAATCCACCTGCGGTGCCACTACATTAGCCGTGGAGCGCATTCCGCCGCAACAGGGCGCAGTCTATCAGCCTGATGGAATCCGTCGGCCCGGCACTCGGCGTAACGCGCCGCACGTCAGACGTGGTGTGGCACAGTTCTGCGACGGTCCACATTCTATAGTTATATATGCATTAAGTTTGCCGCTTGTTATCACCAGTTGAACTTAACCCGCGCCCCGTTGGGCTCTGCCGAGCAACGCGCCCCGTTGGGGGGGGGGGGGCATTTTGCCCCCCCCTAAGATCTCGAGAACCACGCAACCTAGCGACAAGCGGCAAACGGTGTTGGATAGCCCTATCAGGGAACTACCTTGTGACCCAATTTTATTGACCTAGGTCAAACTGATGACGTCACAGATCAGGTCAAAGGTCCAATTTTCACCGTTTATGCAGGCATTTCAAGAAATGCGTTGTAAAATCGAGTAAAATGCATTTCATTGAAAATCATCGATGAGGAAATGTTCTTTAAACACATATTTTGCTATTTGAGGTCACTGATACCAGGTCAGGTCACAGAGGTCAGGTCACGGGGGGGTCACAATATGAAAGTGTCGTGTGATACATGTTTTATGGTCCATTTTACATGACGAATGCGACTATGTGGGTCAGGCAGCCTTTGGGGCCAGCTTAGGTCACGTTTTGGTCAAGGTCAGGTCAAGGTCAGGTCAAATTAGGTCAAATTTCAAAGTTAATATTTTTGCATAAAATGGGTATCGAATCGATGCAGCTCGTCACGGGGAGTTCAATGGTGGTCTTTGTTTTGCCGTACGTGGTCTAGAATCGCTAAAAATTGAGTTCAAAAATTTGACGTCATCATTTTTGAACAGTTTTTTCGCTATAACTTGGCCAACAAACGAGATATCGATCTGAAATTTGGTATGTATATAGAACAGCGCAGGGACTATCAGATATATTCCGGTTTTTTTCGAAATTCGGAAAAATTTTGGATTTTTTTAGTTTTTCTAAAAAAAATCAATTTTTTGAATTTTTTTGGGTCAAAAAACAAAAAATTTGAAAATCCGAGATTGCAGTTTTGTAGCGCCGCTTTTTGTCTACTAGACCATATAAAGAACTTTGAAATTGCTTGATAACTGTAGATTTGGTGAGCGTTTCAAGATTGCATGTTTTTTGCTCATTTTTCTCGAACATGACCTCAGTTTGACCTCAATAACTCCTGACCTAAGGTGACCTAAGACTTGAAATTTGGTGTGAAGGTGTCAAATTGATGTCCGGGAAGGTACTGAAAATTTGGCGGCGCTGCGCGCCGCCGTTTTCTTGCTATTCAGGAAAAACCACAGGGGGGGCCAAAATGCCCCCCCAACGGGGCGAGGGATAATACAGTATGTTTTTTATGGTTCTCGTACTCGTGTTGAGCAAACATAAAACAAGTTGTCGAGTAATTTCGACAAGCCTGCGGGCTGACGTCTCTATGCTCTGGCTACATAACTAAAAGAAAGAAAGAAAAAACTCGTGGAAAAGGGAAACGAATCTCGTTCCTAGGAATGTCAACCTAAGGTCACTCCCTGAGCCGTGACCCCGTTCCACCTATACAATGCCTGACCTCGGCCATTGTCTGACCCGGGCCTCCCGGAATCGGAGCCGGCCCAATCTGCTAATGGTCGGACGGTTATCCGAGCAGCTGGCACCGCTTGACACGCGTGTGCCAGGGGCAGGGCTTTCAGGGGCGTCAGGATGTTTTATCCAACTCATGCTAAATTAAGTTCATGTATGCAACCAGTTTATTGTCGTACAAGAGAGGCTGAATTAGCCCTCAATAATATTGGAATGATAGATGCTTGGAGCAGAAATTAAGTTTTGTTTAATTAAAGGGACTATCCCACCTTCTAAAATGTTGTTAAAACCAGTTAAATTGTGCCCGACTTAATAGATTGGATGACCAGGAACACGGTTCTGGCATTTATTTTTCATTAAACATCTTAGGCTTCCCATATTCCAAACACAAACATTCAAATATGTGACGTCACAGTCCAAAATTACCTCCTTCCCCTGGCCACATTACTGTCATAAAGCTGATTCTTTTTACTCTGTAGGCACCACAACAAAGTTCATACCAAGTTTTAAGCGATTTTTCAACGAACAAACCCATTTAAATCAGAATGACTAAACGAGGTGACGTCACACTAACGGTCGCTCCATGTTGAAGATAGGGCCTTGTACAAGGCCCATTTTCAAATGAAGGGAACAAATTTCTTCAACACCAAGAGGCCGCGGGGGTTGCAACCTAGATAGGGGAAGCGGGGGGAAGCCCGGGCGCGGGGGAAGCCCAGCCACCCCGTTTCCGGCTAAATTATTCACAATAAAATGCTCAACTGTTTGTCCTTTCAGCGTGGCAGCTAAGGTAACGCCAGCAAAAAAGTTAAGGCTAACAAAAATTGCATATTGTTAAAGTTATAGCGCAAAAATGATATTTTAAGGGTTTTTAGCTAAAAAGTGAGATTTGCCGCACTGTTAATGTTACACCATACAGTACTAATATTTATACGAATGTTAGGTAAGGTCCGTTTAAGTGTTTGTAGTGAGGGGTGACGAGGCAGGCTGGCTTAAGTATGACATTTTTTCGAATATCGCTGTTCTAAAATAAAAATTAGCACATTGGGGTAACCCCGGACGAGTGGCCAAGCTTACCCCCAACCGAGAGCAATGCCACTAAACCACTGTTTTCCATGAGATAATAGGTACTGAGCAGGATTGGTTTACACCTAGATCAAAGATAAATTTCGAAAATAAACATGTTATCATAGACAAAGCCAGTCATGTCACTTAAGGTCAACTAGGGTCAAACTACGTTTTTGCAGATAACGCGACAGACAATGAAGCTAGAGCTTCAAAAATGGTGTCGTTGTGTTCTTCTTCATCAGCCGAGTCGAATGATATGCAATATGATGCATTAAGGTAAAAAGAAAAATAAATTTTAAGGAATTTTGAAATACACATTTTTTGTGAATTTTGCATCACGATTTTCATCGACCTGTACTGTGTATGTGGTAGACGTTAGCTAAAATACCAGTAGTGACATAAACTCTAAGATGTCCAGAGCTAATCAGTACCTTAATATTTCACTTTCCGTTAATATTTGGAAGACACATAATGGTTTCATCAACTCGTTGTAAAGCGCTGGGGAGGTGGCCGGCGTTACCCCTATGCCGGGCTTACCCCAGAAAAATCAACACTTTTTTAAAACTCGATTTTCTCAACCTTATACTTATTCCACGAAACCGATTTTTTGGGAAAACACGGCCAATGAAGTTAGCTAGCTAACAGGATATCAACATTTTATACAGCACGTATGGTATGTAATAAAAATGAAAAAGAGCTTACTATGCCGGGCTTCCCCCGGCTTCCCCTAGATAGTGGTTTCTGAACCTCGCCGCAAACTTGGCTATCTCAACTCAAACCCCATGTTAAAGGTGGGACAGTCCCTTTAACTCTGGCATCATAACCATTTTTTAAGAAAGCCATAAAATGGTTGAAAACCCTTCAGCTGGGCACATTATTACGAAAATATTATAGGAAACAATGACACCGAGCTGAAGGTGCACTCTCGGTGTCGTGGTGAATTGAGTGAAGTCTGATTTGTAAGTGGGTGAACCGGGTTGCAGTCTCGCTAGTGCCTGTTTGACATAACTAATCCGATTTTGTCGGCTACCGAGACGGGAGAAAATCCATCCATTGATTTTTACTTGCGCTAGTGAACTTCGAAATTGTATTCCCGAGCGCCGCGAGTAACCCGGCAAGTCGAGCCGTGTGTTCCGCAATGCAGTACTGTATTGCGGCACAGTCTACCTCCCAGTACGCCCCGGCGCTGAGGATTCGCCTGCGCGCGGGCATGACGCTCAGACCCACACAAACGTGCGCTTGATGGAAGACGTTTAGCATTTCCCTTCCCAGTTCCCTTCCCTTCCTTTTCCGATTAAATCATGGCTTAAAATGAATTATTTTCAGTTGAATACTATGGAAACTCTCCTGGTACTTACAAGTCACGACAAATAGCAGCGTTCCCGTTCGTCTCATGGTCGACGTCGATCCGACACTGTCACAGATTAAAATTACCTACAGACTCAAACCCATGATGTCTCACACGCAGGGCAGTAACGTCGTCCAGCTCACCTCCTGCGGCGGCACGTCGAACGAGACGGTGCGCAGGTCCACCTTGCGGTACGTGTCTATGCACGGCACCACGAAAAAGATGCCCGGCCCCTTGGCACCGCCCTGCAGCAGGCGACCCAGTCGGAAGATCACAGCTCGCTCGTACTCCTGGACCACCTGAAATCGGGCAGAGGGAAGTGTAGCTGGGTTACAGGTCGGACACGTAGGTATAATCTAATGGGAAATAAATTGATCATAAACATGACACGGAATGGTACATTTGGCATTGGAGCTGCAGACAGCGCTGGACAAGTACGGTTTATTCGTGTCAATTTTGTATGAACAGTGGGTGAAATAGAAACTCAACTTTGAGCTGCATTGGCTTATAGCAACAGTTATCCGAAACAATTGCATTACATCTGTCAAAGCAAAAGTTTATCCCCAAGTTTATCCTCTTCCTGAAACAGTTTCGATAATAATTAACGAAATTGCAACAACAAGCGAGCTTCATTTTAAGTAATCTTTTGAAGTCACGTCTGACAAACTAGCAACATTGGTATGAAAATTGAAATGATAAAGTGTCATGGTATACTGTTTGCATCTGTGTATATGAGCATTAGGCACTTGATCCTACATCTTTAATATGTTAAAATCGCCTGTTAAAATCGTCTATCAAAGTTTCACTCACCTTGATACACATGCAGAGCGAGAACGGCAGTGTGCACAGGATGAGCAGGTACGACACCAGGGTCAGCAGGATGGCGCAGCATCCCGGCCCCTCCGGATCGGCTGCGGACAGAGACAGAGGTCAGCAGGTACGACACCAGGGTCAGCAGGATGGCACAGCATCCCGGCCCCTCCGGATCGGCTGAGGACAGAGACAGAGGTCAGCAGGTACGACACCAGGGTCAGCAGGATGGCACAGCATCCCGGCCCCTCCGGATCGGCTGCGGACAGAGACAGAGGTCAGCAGGTCAGCAGGATGGCGCAGCATTCCGGCCCCTCCGGATCGGCTGCGGACAGAGACAAAGGTCAGCAGGTCAGCAGGATGGCGCAGCATCCCGGCCCCTCCGGATCGGCTGCGGACAGAGACAGAGGTCAGCAGGTACGACACAGCATCCGGGCCCCTCCGGATCGGCTGCGGACAGAGACAGGTCAGTAGGTCAGCAGGATGGCACAGCATCCCGGCCCCTCCGGATCGGCTGCGACAGACCGACAGAGGTCAGTAGGTACGACGCAGGATGGCACAGCATCCCGGCCCCTCCGGATCGGCTGCGGACAGAGACAGAGGTCAGCAGGTACGACACGACACCAGGGTCAGCAGGATGGCACAGCATCCCGCCCCTCCGGATCGGCTGCGGACAGAGACAGAGGTCAGCAGGTACGGCACCAGCGTCAGCAGAATGGCACAGCATCCCGGCCCCTCCGGATCGGCTGCGGACAGAGACAGAGGTCAGCAGGTCAGCAGGATGGCGCAGCATTCCGGCCCCTCCGGATCGGCTGCGGACAGAGACAGAGGTCAGCAGGTCAGCAGGATGGCGCAGCATCCCGGCCCCTCCGGATCGGCTGCGGACAGAGACAGAGGTCAGCAGGTAGACACAGCATCCGGGCCCCTCCGGATCGGCTGCGGACAGAGACAGAGGTCAGTAGGTCAGCAGGATGGCACAGCATCCCGGCCCCTCCGGATCGGCTGCGACAGACCGACAGAGGTCAGTAGGTACGACGCAGGATGGCACAGCACCCCGGCCCCTCCGGATCGGCTGCGGACAGAGACAGAGGTCAGCTAGACGCAGTGGGTGGGAAATCAGAAGGCGAGGCTAGACGCAGTGGAGGCGGAGTACAACGCCACTAGGTCAGTCACGACGGGACGAGGCTAGAGAATACACACTAGCTTGTTTATGCAATGCTTAATTTCATAAATATCTCAGACGTTTTCTTAGTAGATTATAGCAGTAATGCCGTCCAACATGGTAATAAGCAATACTTTATTTCAGCCTTCACAAAGCTCCGTTTGTTCTTCATTTTTGAGAAATGTTATTGTTAACAGTGCCGTTATTATTAAACAGGCACAAGTTCAACTTCTTATATATTTGCGTTACTTCTCATTATTGATTCTTTTAGCCCGGCAATCCCCCGTTGCCCAAATGTGCAAAACTAGTTTTGCACATTAACGCTCAGAGAGTCCCTCAGAGTGTCCCTGGTGGCCGGGGACCGGCTATAAGCGAGGGATTATGCTCGGATTAATGGGATGCCACCGCCGCTGCGTCGTGTGATCCCTGGACCAGCGTCCGGTGGCGCTGCCGGCCGGCGGCCGCCGCCCTTTGAACGCGTCCTCCATGGAATTCCTGGCGGTCGACGGACCCCTCCCCGCCCCCTCCCCGGTCTGTCGCGAGGACCGGATCAAGGGGTGGTCTATAGCGTCATCAAAGGGTGACTCAAGAACTGACAGACCGAGACGGCCGCAGCGATGTAATTGAACGGCATGCAATTAATGCGCGCCAGTCAAACTGCAGATCGTGCGACGGCCTAATGCGACTGCTTAGCGACGCCGGATCACATTCAGCTATGTAGCCAATAGCCATGCTAGAGCGGCCTTGACTACATGGAATGCACAGGGCAAGCGTGAAACCGTGAGAGTGAAAATAAAACAAAACACGGTAGGCACTGGATTGCTGATGAACCTTTATCTTACGATGCCTCAATTTAACAATTAAACAACACATAAAACATTTACATAGGTATTGCGAATGGCTTCTAGAAATAGAAATTAAGCGCTATTGAATGTAATGAGCAATTAGCTTAATGGGAAATGGGAATTAAAAGCTGAGTCAGTGTCTGAGCTGAGTTCAGTGTCCCATAAATATGAAACTGCAGGCAGTGGTACCTATGGAATGTCTTGAGGCCAGAAGTTTTAGGTGATGTCACTTGTTTATTACTTGGTTTGGTTCCAGACTTATTAGAACACTGATTAGACAACGTGGATCAATGAGTTAGTGGATGCACAGTCCGGCACTTGGCACTTGGCACAATCCCATCCATTTTTAGTGGTTGCTACTCGGTACTCACGGAATAGAATATTGAGCTCCATGTACTTGCTGCTACGCCGCTGCGTCGAGTACTCCATAAATACAAAAATGGACACACCACCACCACGGTATCTCAAACTCCACGGGCCCGAGGGTAGCACTTCTTATCACAGATGTCATCTCACTGCATGAGTCACGGTTCCCTTACATTAGTAACGTCAGCGAACTTCTGTCATACACGATAGTCGATTTGGTTTCAGACTACAGGAATAAGGGAGTTATTTTGAAATTGAGCTCCATCAATGGCTGCCAACTTCGGACATTCGTCCTGAATGCCAATGGGACGGCGGCGACCATCGGCGCCTGATTATTCCCATCCCCTCCCCCACCCCACCGTCCATCGTCGCTGAGCCCTCGGTCCACCCTCCCCACTCGCAGTTTCGGCCCAGGCTTTTGTCAATGCGCAAAAAGGCAATGGCAATTGTGGCAAGGTGCGAGAGGATCGCTCTAAAAATCCATCTGATGTATAGTCCAATTTTTCTAATGTGCCTATTATGGTAAAATATTCACACGTGAGGCTGTCCCAGCACAGGATTAAATAAGATCGTAACCTTCCGCGGCGGCCTCGGCCGACCATCATATGTTGGTCGGACAGCGGCGCCGGCCACGGGAACGGGTCTCGGCGGACTGCGGGACGGGCGGGCGGGTCCCGCCGATATTACACCGCCAGGACAAAGTGCCCACAGAAATAGGGAGGGCGCGGTATTGGTCGGGAGAGCTGGCAGACAAGGCGAGCTGTGGTCTGACTGCAGAATGTCCGGTTGGTGTGTTCGAACGGTCAGACCAACCGCGGTCAGCACGCGAGAGGCAATGGTTTGCTATGTATGTCAGTCTGTCTGCGTTTTTTTTTTCTGTTCGTCTGTTCGTCTCGGTCTGTCCCATAGGCGGCGGAACGGGGGGGGGGGGGCACCGGGGCACCGTGCCCCTTGATTTTGCCATTTTAACATTAGCCCTATGGGCGTTGCTTGTATGGAAAGCACGGGGCAAGGACCAAAAGTCGGCAGTGCCCCCCCCCCCTCCCCCCAATTGAAGGTGTTCCGCCGCTACTGGCTGTCCGTCCGTCTGGTCCTCTGGGCTCTGTCAGACTGTTCCACTGTCTGTCTGTCCGTCTTTCCGTTTGTCTGTCTGTCCAGTGCCCGCCTGTCTGTCTGCTGCTAAGCACCATTGGCTGAGTTTCTGCTGAGCGGTCACAGGTGCCGGCCGCGGGCGTTCACGGCCCGTCGTTTCCAGTATCAGGTGATCTGCCCGCCACATTAGCCCACAGTCGCCGCCATTGTGTTCCCGGAGCTGGCACTCGAGCGGAACAGACTCCAGCTGACGCTGCCTCCCTCTTCCCGCCTCCCGCCGCTTCGGCCAATGGACATGCCAAGATGAGCCGACAAAAACGATCGCGGTCTGTATGTCTGTCTGTCTGTATGTGCGTTTGTGTGTCTGTCTGTCTTTACAGCCGGCCAACGCATTAGTGTTCTCAGCTTTTTGGAGAGGTAGTAAACCAGAAAGGATGAGAGATAAGGGGCCCAACGGAAGACTACGTATAATAGCCGCCGAGGAGCAGAGCAGCGAATTGTGTGAGAATACCCAGTCGAGCTGATTGCTCCCCAATTCCCATAAACATCTGTAGGGCACATGTTAATGATAGCTCGTTTTTGCTGTAGGATCTCACGGCTGGATCGGGTCAAGTACGGAGTGACATGTCGGGCGCACTCGAGACGGATGTGACAACGGACAGCTGACAATGACAGTTGTGACAGTGACAGCACCTGACAGCACACGGCCAGCGTCCGCTGTCGGCGCGCGGCTCGAGACAGGACAGGGACAAGATACGGCCTCACGACAGCGTGCCAAGACGAATGGCACCGGCAGCGTCTCAACACGTTATAGATAAGAGCTTACAGGGCCAGAAGAGACACGACGACAGTCCGAATGGCCGCCTTTACGGGCGGTTGAGGCAAATGTATAGGGAAAAATAAAAAAGATGTAGATACGATTGTACTTTATGATGATATAGCTGAAGGAAGGGCAAATAATAAAACATTTTAAAAAGTGAATGGGATTGCATCACAATTTTATGCATTTTATCCCGTTTTTTTATTTTTTAGGAGCCGATTGATAGGATAGTTAACCGGAGTGTCCTACCTACATCTATGCACCTACTTTTTTATCAATTCACTTTCTTTTAGTATCAAATATTGGCATAGGCGGCGGAACGGGGAGGGCACCGCGGGGCACCGTGGCCCCCTTTGATTTTGGCATTTTAACATTAGCCCTATGGGCGTTGCATGGAAAGAATGGGACCAAAAGTCGGCAGTGCCCCCCCCCTTAATTGAAGGCGTTCCGCCGCTACTGAATATTGGTGGATCTACGAATAAAAGTTGGGATGAGAAGTTTGCATTAAGTTATTAAAACTCCGATAAGAATTTTGAAAACGAGTCCCACCAGATCCACTCCGGTCAACACCAGTGATATTCGAGATTAATTTTGAAACAACATCCAGAAATGTGCATACGGCGCAAGCAATTTATCATTAAGTAGGTAGGTATACACTATACAATTAAATCATTGTCTTCTTACTGCTTACAACATAATGTAGGTACTCGAAAACTTGTCATGATCTGTTATTATGCCTGCATTATGTTCCTTTGCGTGTTTTTGCACATATTTTCAGAACGATATTGCGACTTACGAAGATTTTAAATATTTACA